GGCCCACCTCTGTTCACCTTAGTTTGGTCATTAGGTTATCAAACCTTTGAATTTATATTTTTCCTATTACCTCAGTTGGGACCATGATGAGCCACAGTGCACCTCTATATTCTGTATGTTCATATGATTACCTGTTATCATATGATTAGCTGTTCATATGATTACCACGGATGATAATGAAGCTTTCTTTGTGTTTGAATATAAAAGGAAACCTATGTCGAGGGATATTATTCAACCCCATGGCAAACAATAAAGAGGCATTACCTATCACAGCCTATCCCTTGATACAGTAGCCAAAGCATATCATCCTTGTCTCAAAGTAATTACACTTTCAGCTAAGTTGGTTGAAGCGTATTCAGATCTTGCACTGGAATCTCCATTAAATCTGATGATACCACATGCAGAACAATGTGTTCTCTAATTTAAAAACACCCAACATTTTCCTACCAGTTGGTTGACTAAATATGAAATACTATCAGTATGTCCTCATATTATTTACCTCTCTTAAACTTCTCAATTAAGGGATCTCATGTTTGTATTTCTGCCATTCAAAATGTCTCCATGTCCAGAACAATTTTTTTCAACCACCTTATATCAAATTCTGAATTTAAGTATTTTTCAATGTTTGAAGGATTTAGGAATAGGAGAGGGTGTACTTTTAAAAGGATAGCAGAAGGTAGTTTGGGGTAGCAATGAAACTTCTGTGGCACGATCATGTGATAGTTACATGATCTATATAATGTATTAAATTCAAAATAAAGAGAATTGTACACCAAAAAAGTCAATTTTTCGATATAATTACTTAGTAATAAAAATTTAAAGCACTGAGTTCAAAATGCCCAAATAGGAATATTCTGCCTTCCTTGCACCCACAAAAGCACTGATATCCACAATACATACACTAAATACCCACACTAAAGGGAGTGCTTTGAGGAGGCCAGGAGTCCAGCAGAAGTTCCAGCACACTGTCTGAGACTGGACACACTGAAGAAGGTTAGAGGAACACTTTCACTTTACCCTTGTCACCCCTGCCCACAAAGAGCACAGCTCAAGGCCAAGAAAAACCTTCTAGGCCTGTGATTTCTTCATAAGGGAGAGTGAGAGACTGAATGAGCGTTGCTGTCCAGCTCTGAGGGAGGCTGCCAAAGAGACCTGCCCCCTTCTGGCCGCATCCAGAACACTGAGGGGTGCTGCCCAGCTGGGAGTGGGGAGCACCTGGGAGAACAGCAGCCAGGGTTCCAGGAGGGCATTAAAGGGGCAAGGGTACTACTACCAGGGCACAGACTCCA